GCAGAGAGTCTGCTAGTGCTATATCTATACTGTAACTCTGCCTTTCCCTCTGTCAATTGTTGATGATACGCAGTCACGCAGTATGGTCATCGGGGTATTAAACACCTGCCACTGTGTCTATAAAGACTGAAATACAGACCTTGTAACAAAAAGTTTTTAGTTAAAGTCACTCCAGAATCAGCCTCCTCCTAAACTCTGCATCTACTCCACAGTGGCAGCAGATCACTACAAGTAAACTAAAAACCAGTGCACAGTGGATGTAACCACTGAGAAGTAATTGTTAAAGTGTTCTCATTTGTGGATGTCTCTCCCGTACAGCGAACATGTAAAATTTTTTAAAGGAATTTGGGTTGTAGCTCAGTTAGCATGTGTCTTTGGCCTAGCAGGCACTGAGACAAAAGGCCATCAGTTTAACTTCCATTACAAACACAAATACAACATATATACTACTCTGGATCCTCAGGCATGTTTCAAACTGCTGCTAGATAAAGTAAACATCACTGGCAGGCATGGAGCCTACATACGTGCAGAAAACAAAACCCCATTTATGGTCAGAGACAGAATATGGACTTGATAAGTGGTGATGTAATTAGAAATTTACTGTTATGATAAAATGAACCTGCACCCCGTATCTTCCACAATAGGGCAGCATTTTGCTGGATGCCAAACACGAGGATTTTCCTGCTCTTCTCCATATCTCCCTCCTCCTCCTTTAGGACACATTCTTCTATGAAATGCTACAACCCACACTCAGCCTGTGTTTTCAGAGCATCGTCTTCTGTTCTGTCACATATGGCAGTCTGAAACAATTACATAATGAGACGTATTATCAGGGCCTGGCTGTCAAGATGAAGAGACCATGAATAAATATTAGCCACTTATTAGATCCACTGCTCCTGCACTCCCTGATGTATCTGTGCTTCCTTTGACACTCATATTTTCCTTTCATATCCCTGACTTACTGTGGAATAAAACACTACAGCATTAACAATATTCAGAAAAGGATTTGAAAAGTCAAAGACAGAGATGGGACTGTGGCTAGACACAGATCAATTCCTGTATCATGTTAGGCCCCCAGGTTCTGTCCCTTGTAGCACAGAAACACACACACACACGCGTGCGCGCTCACATACACAAGTCACATCACTTTTGTACTTTTGTTCTGGAATGTGCTGACTCTTAGGCTGATTTTGATCCACCTGCTCTTTCCTCTTCCCTATCCATAACATGTTAAAGAAAAGCAAGATCTTCCTTAGGAGAGGAGCATACACATACTATGACAGGATTTTTTCAATTGTTTATTGATTGTGTGTGTGTGTGTGTGTGTGTGTGTGTGTGTCATAGCTCATATGTGGAAGTCAAAGAACAATTTGCATTGGTCTATTTCCCCCCCACCATGTGGATTTTCGAACACAGGTCCTCAGGCTTGGCCAGGCTTGACAACAAGTGCTTCTACTCTCTGAGCCACCTCTCCAGCAGTTGTGATTACCTGATGCGCAACAGTTGACTTCAGGAAAAAGTGACTCACCTAGATCTCTAGGTCTGGCCATAATTTTGCCTTCCTCTCTGTGAGTCCAATTGTATTTTTCACACTCAAGGAAGTAAACATGAATTTGACAACTGATCACAAAGGAGAATATTATGCTGTCCTAATTCTTTTGACGTCAATTGGAAACATTGCTGTTTAATGATATATCTGTATTTAACAAATGGATCACGACAAGCCTTTGTGCACACGAGTGTGGTAAGGCACCATGGTTTGAAACATCTGGGAACCACATGAATGGGGGCACTGAAATGTGTGGCCATATATTATACTTTCCAGGTCACTGTGGTGTCATTTTATATCTATAGCAACAAACTAAAGAGAAACCGCTGTGTTCTGGCAGAGTTAGTGTTTCTCTTAAACACAAGTGAATAACATTTTCATAAAAGGTTCATACAGTGAACATTTTAGACTTTTGGGGAATACATGGTCCCTGACACAGGACCCACTCTGTCTTTGGACTCTGATAGACAGTCACAGAACTTAGGGATGCAAACTAGATTACTGATAATAAAATTTTAACTTTCACATAGTTCTCGTGTCACTGTAAATTATTTTTGTTGAATTTTTCCCACTTGTTAAATATATAAAAAGTCAGTCGGATTTCCTAACTCATGCAAAAACGGTCAATGCAGAGGATTTTTGCTCAGAAGCTACAGTTTACTACAACTCTTCTAAAATATGCAATCAGTTGACAGGGATCACATTAATTCATTAAGTGAATGTTGTTAGACAGTGCTTTGCAGGGACAACTTATTTAAAGTTTGGCTGGGTGTAAAGTGAAGAAGTCTTGGGTGTTTATAAAGTCACTACAGATAAAAACAAATTCAACAATATATAAATAACAATTATGTGTCCTATGTCAGTCAGGATCATGATCTCAGGAATCACAGACAAACACCTGGACACTGCATCAAAACACCAACATCTTATGGGAGGCAATTCGAATATCTCAAATGTAGGGCTGTTTGCGTTTTAGTTTCTTTTCCTTTGCTTTCCACCTAACACCCAATTAGAAAGAATATGGTATTTACCTAACCCTTGTGCATAGTCCTCAGTACTCTGCCATTTCTAAAGCAGTCTTGTCTTGCAAGGCCATTAAAGGCAAAAGCTTGCCTTCTGAATGCATGAGGTATATCATCTTTACTGATTATTAACAGCAGAATTGGTTCGCAGGGTATTTTTCACGGAGAAGAAAATCAAAGACAAAACTCAGCAGGAGGGTGGTAGACAGTAGCAATATGGTGTGGGTGTAGACAAATCCCTGTGATTCATAGAAAAGTTAGGGCTCACAGATCAACTCTGTTGTGAGAAACTGCTTCACTTGGAAAATAGTTCCAGCCTCAGATCATTAGAAAAAAAATCACATGAAATCTAACCTGTGTAGGAACTGAGTGGTACAAACCCACAGCCCCGAACACGTGCTCTGTCCCTGTGATGTACATTATTACCATCACCTTGCGGACACCTGAGCCTTCAGCATCTGCCACGATGCCACTTTCTGGTTGACATATATCTAAGAAATGTGAACATTAGCACCCAGACTATAGAGCCAAGCACATTTGAGTGCCGGCTACAGCTGAAAGAATATGTTTCCATTCCTTGACCATCTGTTCTTGGCAGCAGAAATTTAAGCTAAAAACAGAGAATAGCTTCTGAGAAACAAGTCTAAATAGGGTGAAAGCAGCAAGATGGATTCTCTAGGGCTTCAAATCCCCTCCATAGCTCGGTGTGCTGGTTTCATAGCTGAATGCTTTTTACTTGGGACCTCTTCGGCTACAACTACAGCAAAAAGAAATGTTAAAATAATATTATTTTATCAGCCAACTTAAAGTATGTTATTTAGGCCAGACATTCCATTTTATGAGCTTATGCTACATTTTCTAGTGATCTTGAAGCTAATGAACTTTTGGAGGTCTCGAAGAGCTGCTTACTACAATTGAATTCTGTTGAACATGGACCATCAACATCCCTAAATTCTGAGCTATCACACATTCCTTAGTAATTACTGAAACTTCCTGTCCAAAATGGATCCTGCACCTGTTTTCTCATTCCAAGCTCAACATTGTTGGTGCAGACCAACTACGTGTTTATCTAGTGTGCGGCCATGGCTTCCCACTGTGTGATACCCCCTCCAGACTTGTTTTTTGCTCTTAAAACTGTATCAAAATTATTTACACCCGGAAACACACCAAAAACCTTACAAGAATACCACACTGGGCCTGTTAGCATAAGCCTAAGCCTATCAGAGGCAAGCATTGCTGGCCAGCCTGGTCTGATATCAAGTTCAAAGTCAGCCATGGCTACACATTGAGAACCTGTCTCCAGAAAACAAAAGATAAAACAAAGAACACCACAAAAGAAAAGGACCATGTGTAGTTACCATAATTTCTGTATGCTATCAGGATCTAAGCATTCTGTGTGCTATAAATGAGCAAGTCCACTGTCAAAGTGTTGGGCAGGTTCCCAATCAACGGGAGGATACCCTCTGTTTTCTGTACCAGTGCACACCTTTGAAAAGAACTGTACCTTACACAGTACAACTTATGCAAATATGTCTATTTCTTAAGTAACTCCTTTGCAAATGATTTGTGCTCCAAAGTGCATCAGTTCAAATTTGTTCATATCATGCCCTTAGTGTATGAATATTTAAAAAGTGGTCCTCTAACTTTCAGTTTCTTTAAGTTGGCTTAGGACATATATCTGTGAGGTCCATCCTGTAAGACGTGCTTCATACTGTGACATGGGCTAAAGAAACATTTAACAGGTGGTACCAGCCCTTTTCTGATGTTTCTGTTAAGAAGAATAAGATGATGTTTGCAATGTGCTAATTATCTCATCTACTCCCAAATGTCATTTTGGTAGACTATATATTCCTCAACCTCAGGAAAATGTTACCAGAAACTTCTATCATTTCTTGAATTTCTATACAGTTACCTTGTGTTCAATCCACTTGATGAAATAAGACTCAGTCTTGATAACCTGTGAAAGAAAACGCTTCAACCTCCATGATCTCCAGGGTTTCTTGTTTGAGTAGCTTAACAAAATCACGTCTGACAGTAGATCTGTATGCTTTATTTATAGTGATGAAATGTGTATTTGCTGCCAAATGTCTCATGTGGGCTGTATAGCTCTTCCATGTATACATGTGGAATAACATTAAGTTTGTTGATGTTAAAAACTACTGTTATGTTTTTTTTCTTCTTTCTTTTTTTATTATTTGGCTCTGAACTTGTTCTTTCTGCTTGTTTTAGAATAAGCTGAGAGCAAATAGTTCTCTATAGAGCATCAAGGATTAGCTAAGCTGAGACTTACCGAAGTACCGAATTTTTTTCATTACTTTTGATTTTCGAGACAGGCATTTCGCAGAGTGTCATTTGTGACTTCCTTAAGATACAGTGGCATTCCTGTGTATATGCACACTGAGACTGACTAGGCATGCATTTTCTTTCAGATCTGAGTGACCAGCTGCTAGAGGTTGTTGGCTTGGAAGGAGCAATGGAAATGGGACAAATATACACCGGGCTGAAAAGTGCTGGTCGGAGGCTGGCTCAGTGCTCCTCTGTGGTTATCAGGTAGTGCTTCTGCTATAATTGACTGTGTGCTTTGACATGACATAATCCCAGCTAACTAAACGGATGCAAGATTTATGACAGTGGTATCTGTCTTATTTTTGTTTCAACTGATCAATGATTAAAGCTTACATATTTCAAAATGATGGAAATTAACAGCTTTTACGGCTTGGCAACTGCTTCTTATTGAGTTCTATAGAATCTAATATTCTTTTACTACCTTGGTGTTTGGGTTACATTTTTATAACTGTGCCAAAAAGAAACAAGGGGAAATCATCTTAAAGGAGGGAAGGTTTATTTTGCTCAGAACTGATAAGTGCCAGCCCATTGTGTGACAAAAGTGGGAAACAGGAGGTGTCTGCATCTTGTCAGCCAGGAAACAGAGAGGGGACAAGGCTAGGAACAACATAGTCCCAAGAACCTACTTCCAGCAGTCAACTTCTTCCAACAAGGGTCGACCTACTGAAGCTTCTAAGCTGCAAAGTTTCCAAAGTAGGGCTAGTAGCTAGGGACCTAATCTATAACACATGAGTCCGAGAGAGATATTTAAAAGTCAAGCCATGTGGATGCACCAGCTAACACACACATAGAGATTTAATACATCCCTGTGTTCATTCACACTCAAGCTACTGCAGCATCAAAGTATTTACTGAACAAATTATCCAAAGGAAAAAACTACTGACACACTATTAAGTTACATTTTCTCATGGGCTAAAGTGCAGCATTGTTCTCATAAACCTAAATTATAAATCAGTATGTGATAAAGTTTCCAAAGTTTTAATTATATACAATATTTTACCTATAGAAAAAATATAGAATGCATTTGACCCCAAAATGAAACCACAAGCTGTAATGTAGACATGACAGATATTATTTTATGAATGTGTTGGTTTGAGAAAATCTTAGACTCCCACCATATTTTTGAAAGATTTGCAATGTGTGTGAGGTTGTACATATGTCAACAAGGAGTCACTTTGGTTTTAGGAATTCAGAAATTGCCTTTGAACACAAACCCTGGTATTTTCTTTTGGCATTCAGAATTATTCTTTATGTCACCACATTTACCAGGAAGCTTTTAACATTCTTGTGACCAAGGAACCTTTCAGAGTGTTCATTAATAGTTAATGAAACCCCCCTTTCAGAAAAGGTCAGCAGTGATCACATTTGCCTTCCCTGGACTTATTGTCTTGTGCTTTACAGATACTTTCTTATAGTAAATATTTTAGCATTATAGTAACAGTGAAGTATTCTTTTCCAGGACAAGCAAGTCGCTGCCAATGCAGATTGATGGAGAGCCATGGATGCAGACCCCATGCACTGTGAGTACCACCAAGTGGTGGGGAATCATTACCAGTGTGACTTTTGCTTTCCAGACATCATGCATTTCTATGGCTAAGTCCCCACAAAAAATCTCATCTTTTGTCCTGTCTTCTTTAGCAACTATGTGGCAAGTCCACTTTTTCCTCTTGTTTATGCAGAGAAGCTATTGCATTCAGGCAGATACCAAAGACCAACTGTAAACTCCAGGACAAAGCAAGATACTTAGAAAGCTTCTCTGAATTCTTTTGTTTAATTTCCAAACATCTAATATGAAAATTGGTTATGGATCCTTGACACATATGAAGAAAAAAACTGATGTACTTTAAGCTAAATATTTCTTGCTTCTGGAACATTTCTTATAGTTAGTAGAACCCACTATTTTCTTAGTAATAAAGTAAAAACATTTTTTTCTTGATAACTGCCATTCTGGTAGAGGTAAGATAGAATCTCAGTGTTTTGATTTGCATTTATTTTACGGACAGGGATTGGACACTTTTTCTGAAGTTTATTAGTTCTTAATATTTAGTCTTTGAGAAAAGTCTGTTCATTTTATTAAGATGTTTAATTTATTAGTGTTTAGATTTCTTTAATTCTTTGTATATTCTATATGGTAGTACTTGTTAGTTATGTAGCTAACAGAGCTTTTATCACATTCTTTAGGCTGTCTCTTCATGCTTTGGCTAATTCTGTTGGTGTTCAGCTTTTTAACTTCATGAAATCCTGTTTGTTGATTGTTGACATTATTTCCTGAATGGCAGTCTTAATAACAGAGTTCTTCCCTAAGCCTGTGTTTCGAAGTAGTTGTCCTAGCTCCTCTTTTATCAGTTTCCTGTCACATATTAAATTCTTTTGTTCATTTAGAATTGGTTTTTGTATAAGGTGAGAGGCAGGGATCTACTTTTTCAAGTCCACCTGTAGATAGGCAGTTTCCTATCACCATCTGACACAAAGCCTTAGACAGGTTACTTTCAAATGTTTTATGATTGCTCTTACTGTAAATTACAAATATCTTTTCATTTTTTTCTTTCACTTACTATATTTTATGTGCTTGTGCTTTATCTGACATTCTTCAGAGTCTGTGAATAGGATTGCCGCATTAACTCTTATTGTCTTACCAATGTTAAGTATTGTCATTGTTGGAGTTGCCAATTGTCTTAGTTAGGGCTGCTATTGTGATGATGCATGACCAAAAGCAATTTGGGAAGGAAACAGTTTACTTGGCTTACATATCCTGAATCACAGTCCACTGAGGAAAATCAAGACAGTAACTCAAACTGAGCAGGAACCTGGCGGCAGGAGCTGATGAAAAAGCCATAGAGGGGTGCTGCTTACTGGTTTTCTCATCATGATTTTCTCAAGCTGCTGCCTTATAGACCCAGATAATGTGCTGGGCCCTCTACCATCAATCATTCATTAAGGAAATATCTACAGTTTTACATTGTGGAGACATTTTCTCAATTGAGGCTTCTTCCTCTCTTATGATGCTAGCTAGATCAAGTTGACATCAAACTGGCCAGTACACTAATGGTGGCAGTAATTTTGCTACTTGGGATGGTAATGATGTTTCTAGCGCTGATGGTAGCAGCAACAAATATAATGATAGTGGTGATGATATTACGGATGTGCCCATGCTCATACCACCAGAGTAATAGTGGTAGTGGTCATGATGGTTACAGTAGGAATCGTAGTGAACTTGCAGTCATGATAGTGATCATTTTTATGATGTGGGATAGCAATGGTCACTAGTACTCTTGTCTTTAATATAAGATCATTGTTGTTCAGCCACGATCACAAGAGAATCAGTAAAAATAATACAAAAAGAGTGGAACCAAAGGTATTCCTTCAAAGGTCTTTGCATTCTTTCAGATACTATAGGAATCGTGAGTAAGCAGTAAAGGCAATGCTAATACTTTATGCTCATTAAGATCTTCACTTGTGCAGATATCAAAATACTTGGTTTGTATTGACACATGCAATTCACACACACACACACACACACACCACATTTAACTCCATTTTATGAAATCAACACAATGAATTAGGGAAAGCTAAAAAAATTTCCTATTCTGACCTCTAACACATAGCAGAGTGGTGACTAAAGCCCACACAGCTGCACCTGGGTTCTGCATTCTTCTTCATTGACCCCACTGTTATCCCAAGCTGACAAAGTTGAGGCTACTTTGAGAGCTCTCTTGGGCAAGGCCTTGGGCAAATTACTGTCTACCATTTTTCTAGTTCTGGAAGGACTATGTCTATGAACATTTAATTAAAATTTTAGACAGGTTTAAATGATTTAACATAAGTTCTTTTGACACTGATTTTAGTTTTTTTTTCCAGTTAGTAGCAGGATACACACTTTACCTTTTAATTATTGTAATCTACAATTTATAAATTAATAATTTATATAATTTAAATTTATGTTCTTATAAATATATTTATTCATTTAAAACATGTATTGCAACCTTCAGTGAGTCAAGAACTATAATATACTAAGACTTATTATTTATTAATTTGAATTATAGAATATCCTACATTTCCTAGAACCACATGGGGGCTTTGAACTTTTTACTGATGAGAATATTAATATTCTTTGCAGTGATATATAGAGAGAGGTTTTTACTTCAATAAACTAGTACATTTTTTCTTATAGAACATAAGAATTTGTAGAATTTTAGAACTCTTTGCTAAATTTAAATATCCATAAACTGATATTCAATTTATGAAGGAGTTTCTCAAGTTATAATTTTAGAGGAAACCAGAAGGTTTCTTTTGAATTCAATAGAAAGTGGAGAAGAGCAAGAAATGCATATTTCTTGATTCTTAAATCAATTAATACTATTTTTAAAAAATCAAGATAAAAAAGATTCTTGAGATGGACTCTAGTGGTGGTTGCATAATAATGTGACAACACATAAGATGAAAGCATTAAAGTGGGTTGTATCGTTTATCTGAATGAAAAACGATAAGTAATGTCAAGGAAAAAGTAATGTTTATTCATAAATTTTATCAGGCCTCATCACAAATATCAAGAAAAGCAAAAACTAAGCAGGTTTAAATTCATGTTACAATTCCTTTCATGACATTCTAAGTTTTGCCACTAAAATCAATCAACAGATATTTGTCAAATGTTCCTGTTATAGTATATCAGTACTCACAACGTTGACAGAGTGAACTTTTTCCCTAGTAACTATTTCTTCATTATTTTAATAAACATATTTAAACTAGGAGACTATTGAATCTAGAATACACATTGACGTGGATGGTTTGGAAGCGCTGTCTGCAAGGTGAACTCTAGAGCCTCTACCTTCTAACTTCTTCCTCCTGAACACATCGAATGGACCGACTTTGTTAACATGCATTCATATAAAACAAAGGGCTACCTAAAAACTGGAGGAAGACAGAATATGACCACAGGATAGGGCAGAGCGCAAACCACATCAGATCCTACTCCATATGTGTGTACCCAGCGTTTCTCACTTTTTGCAGTTGATGAACTACTGATGGGGTTTTGTAAAGTAAGAAGTGACTACAAAGCTTCAAGAACCTTAACCGCTGTTTCTTCAAAATACACCACACATCTTTCCTCCAGAGGATTCTTGTTCTTCTCCATAGTGCTTTGAGCAATGAACATTACTCCCCCAGTGTTTCCAGAGCTGGAAATTTGAGTCATCCTACAGTAAGTTCCATAGCCCCCAAACTATCAAATATGACGACTTAACTACATTATTCATTTCTACAATCTTTGCCTGTATCTCCAATGCTACCACGACCATCCTAGACTTGCCCCATTACATTTGTGGCTTCTAGAAAGGACTAAGTATGTTCCAATCACCATGACGCTCTCTTTTAATTTATCTTGCAGATTCCCTTCAGCATAGTCACTGTGAGCTATAATTCTACTGGGGTACTTCCTACTTTGAGTCCTTTCTGAGCTTTCTGTTTGGACACAGGTCAAGCTTGCTGTTGTAACAGCTTCTTCTGCTTCTTCCTATGTGTATTTTCATGTGCTTCCCCAGAGTCTGGAAAATCTTTTTTTTTTCCTTTTCAGCCAAGGGGCACAGCTCATTCTTTGGGGCATCCCTCGCTGCTTCTCCACCACAGAGACTTCTGTAGGCACTGCCATTCCTGTCGCCTCTTCCACTACACTAACCTCCAGCTCAGTCCCATACCCACTGCCTGTGATAGCAACAACCATATCACATTGAAAGTACAGTCATTTCCCCTCCCTGTAAGACATAAGTTCTCAGAAGTCATGAACCATCATTTCAATACTCACTGAGCTCTCAGAGTACAGAACTGCTCCTCCTGCATAATTTGGTTGCCAATACCAAGAACATTTTGAATTTATAAATTTCTTAAATACTTCTTGGGGGTAGTATAGCATTTTAAAACATGCTTTCTACTAAATCTTCTTTCACTGAACATAATGTAGTTTGGCTAGCAATTCATTCACATATTTTTCATATCTAAATACATGTAAAAGTTATTTTGAGTTATCTTTATTCATTATATTCTCAAAGCAAAGAGTTTGAATGTAGCATAGAAAGAATCTTTCCCAATCTCCAAAGATTACATCCTTCTGTTTCCTGTTTTTGTGTAACTGAACTTCTCCAACTACTTCTGTGTTATTAGTTGTGTATTTATTGGACATATCATGAAAGTTGTATTCTGTAAATGACTTGTAATCCAGGTAGCCAGTTTCGGTGTATTAAACATTACCTGTGACACCATCTTGAAGCATTATGCCCATGGAATTTTAATATAAGATCTGTGCTTAAGGACAAGAAGATTCCCTAAACTTTCTTCCCTCTGTAATCACTTGATAAATACAATTTGTCTCAGTCCTTTAGGACCGATATGGAAAATTTTGTAAATTTGGATCTTCCCACATAAAGCATTTAGTGTCACAAAGATTAAGCAAATAGACTTTTCCAAACACGTGAAACAGTTTGAGCTATTCAGAGGAATCATGATAATGATTCCAATCATTTATTAAGCA